CATATAGACATACGCACAGTACATACACTCATACAACATACACACATGTGTACACACATACGCACACATATATACACACACATACATGCTACTCAACTTCAAAAACCAAAACAAAACACATGCTGTAGTGAGGTTGAAACTTGAGAAATAAGCACATAGAGACAGTGTGATCTCTGTGTTGTCTCAGGCTTCTTTGTGCTGCTCAAACAATTCTGCACACTGTGTAGTTTATAAGCAGTAGACATTTATTTGCCTCATGTTTTCAGAGGCTGTAAAGTAAATGATCAGCCAGCTATACATAGTGAGAGCACTTTTGTTTGCTTTGCTTTAAAATGCTGGCTGAGCCCATCCTTTTATTGGGAAACCATGTCAATGAGAATTACTCATTATAAAAAACCGTGTGTGTGTGTGTGTGTGTGTGTGTGTGTGTGTGTGTGATGAGAGTATGCAAGTGTACCTCATGAGTGCAGAGTACAGGAGCCTCCACACATCAGAACAGGAAACTGGAGGCACGAATGGTATGGACTGGGTGGTGGAAAGCAAATTCTGGTTGGTTGTAAAAGCAGAAATGCTCTTAGCTGCTGAACCATCTGTTCAGACCCACAGGTACTCTTATGACAAGGACATAGGACATGAGTCTGTTTACAAAATCATCTGTGTGATATAACTTAAAGATCCCCTTACAACAGCATGACATTGGAGATTAAGTTCTGTACCATCAACACTAGGGGACAGTTTAAACCATAGCACGTAAGGAAACTACGTGGTCAAACTCACAGGCTTTGAAAGCGCAGTGTTTTTTCTGAGTGTGAGCCAGGGATGGGAATGAAAGGCTGCTGCTTCAGGTGAACAGACCTTTGGCATTGTAGAATGACAGGCGTTCTGGAGGTTTTTCGCACAGCTGTGTGAGTATGTCTACCAGTCCTGAACTGTATGTTTACAGCTCGTTAAGTCTGTAAGTTTTATGTTATATGCATTTTGCTGTAGCTAAAACATAATAACGCAAACATACAATAATTGCACGAAGGGAGCAAGATTTAGAACAGAGATCTGGAGACAAAGCTGGATGAGGTTAGGTTAGCGTTCATACCATGGCTTTCTAAAATTTTACCTGAGAGAGGTGATATGTTTTCTTCTCATTTTATCAGTAGCGCATGGAAAAAATACAAATCCTTTGAAACAGGCTGTTAGCTCCTTTTCTATTGTTCTTGTAGTATAATCAGAAAAGTCAGTTTATTCAAAGATGCCCAATAGTGTAACAATCTGCTTTCTCCGAAATAGATTTATAGAAAAGTCAGTAAGTGCCCCATACAGTCTTTCTTTGAGGCCCATTCAACATGACTGCTGAAGTCAGTGAAACTGGTGGAGTGAAGTGAAAATCACATAAAAGCAACCAGCAAACACTGAAATAGAGAAATCACAACACAGAGAAATCCATTTTATTTGGTCACTTGTTTTCTTATTATAAAAGAATAACAATTAGAAATAGAAGAAAAATTAAAGCCTTCCTTTCTGCTGATAAGAAGAAGGGAGTCTAGGCACTCAGTTTAAATATCTCCCCCATCAGTGATCCACACACACACACAAAAAACCCGTCAGCACCCAATTTAATTTACACTGCAGGAATGGAACCATTTCATAAAGTATCAGAGCATAAAATTAGAAATGAAGGCATTGGTTTTTGAAATAAGAAAGCTGCACTAGATCGCTGTCAAATAAAGCATGGCTCTTCCAGAATGGGAACAGAGTGTCTTTTTGCAGCAGCTTGAGAGTAGATCCTAACTACTTCCCCTGGAAGCCACCAGCAGGACTCCTCCTTGGATGCTTCTCCTGGTCTTTGCGAAAGCACATTATGGAAAACAATCAGCTTTGGAGAACTCAGGAACTTGAACATCATTTCTCGTGTTTTTGCATCTGAAATTATAATTAACTATGCAGCAAATTAATGTGGAAGAATTAAATTATGCTATTACCTTAAATGAGCAATGTTTTAGTTCTTGATAGTATCAGAATCTATGGGATAAATACAGTGTCGCAACACTCAGGAATGCACAATCATCATGGAACATTGCATGTCCTGGTCTGCATTTCAGATACAGTCTCACCAGGTGGTCCAGGCTGTCCTCCAACCTGGGCTGGTTGGGCTTAGCATACTACAAAGAATAGTCGTCAGGCTCTAGGTGTAAGTACATTTACTTAGACCTTATTGATCTGCTTAGAATAGAATGATGACTAAGGATGCGAGAGAAAAGTTAATTGTTCATTAAAACCAAGAAATAGGAACCCAGAGGAGGTCTCCTAGGTTTAGGTCTTTTGTACCTTTTTGTCCTAATGAGTTTTCTTAGTGAACATGCCACCATAGAAATAAACATGCCTGTCTACTGGAATTTCAGAAATTTGCCAGGATATGGCTTCTTGACAATGGAGAACTTTTTTTTTTGACATTTCTCTGACTATCCTACTTATTCACTACTTTTTATTCACCAAGAGTTCCTCCACTACAGGAAGAGATGCCCTTGCCATTCTTTTTCGTACATGGGCACTTTATGAATGGTTCATAAGCAATGGACACTTGAATATTCATGCAATAAAAATGCTAATAAGGTGGTTAAACAATGCACTTCTTCAGGAGTTGCCAGAGACTCTAATCTAATCTGAGTCTCCCCAGTGAGATGTGCCTGCGCTGTTTCCAAGTTATTAGGGCAAGAGACTGGGCCCCAGTGGTCCTGAAGATTGGGCTTAGGCACCCGATCACAAAAGAGCTTTCAAACAGGTAAGTAAACACATACCAACAGGGATTTATTCAGTGTGGTCACACTGGGAAAGGGAAAAGAGAGGGTCCACGACATACCATCCCTCCAAGTCCATCTTTTTTCATGTTTCTGGCATGAAGTTCATGTTTAGACAGAGGATAGCAAGTATATATTGTCAAGCACCCCCGGCGAAGGCGGTGTCCTGCCCATCATCTCTGCTGCATTCTTCCTTGCAAGGGGGTCTGACAAAATTGTCAAAACTGCATGAAATCACCTCTGGCATGAAGGTTCTAGCCTCTTCCTTTCCTAGCATAGGTCTCTGGAGAAATTCCAATTTCTCAGGTCCATTGCTCCAATAGTTTGCTAGTTAAAAGGAAGACCATGAGTGTCTCTTTAGAATGTCTTCATTCTTGCCAGAATGGTTACTCTATTGTAATCTAATTATATAAAGAGCCACTTTTTAAAAGCTATACTCCAGTTGAATGTCAAGTTCACACACTGTCCTGTGTTTATGCGGATGTGACCAAGGATGACAGTCAGCTAGCGTTATTAATAGTATACAAAAGTAGAAACAAAGTAGGTCCTTTGAAAAAAAATTCACCTCAAAAATTATTTTTCACAATCTGGAAACGGGAAAAGAAACCTACAAGCTTGTAGGCTATAATTGTTTCTTCTCATTTTTTCCTCCATCTGTCAAATGTCTAGAGAGAATAAACAGGAAATGGATTCCCATTTATTTTTCATCTACATTGTAATCCAAAGACTGCCCAGTAAAGGCCTTTTGTAAATCACCTGGCCAGTTCTGCCAACAGAATAGTCTTTAAGTAATATAGTATATCTTTTGACATTTTCATTTTTTTGTTCTTGACATTTTCCTTAAAAATAATGCAGTGTTAGCCCTATTATCTTTAGTTCGGGGTCTGTGATACAAATATCAACTATCAACTCTTGTAAGAAAGCAATCAAGATTCAGACACCCAAGATGTCCGTGCAAGGCTCTATTCATCTGTCGGTGTAATGGTGAGGGGGAGGAGGGTGGGGATGTGGTGGCGGTGGTTCAAGAACAGGCTGCCTAGTTGTTCATGCTTTTTCTGTTCTCTGTGTTACTTGGTGGGATGTAGTTCAGAACGATGGCTTTGAAAAGCACAATTAATAAATTCCCCTCTGTTCTAACCCACAAGAAATGACTTATGATTCATTCAGCAACAATTACTGGGTGTAAACCGTGTTCCAGACACTGCATAGGTTCTGAGGAAAAGAGCCAGAAGGGTAAATACATACTTCAAGTGGTATTTTGAGTAGCCTTATTGTATGGGAACAGTAAATGTCTGCTTGCATTCTATTGCTTTTCATGCTGTCTTCAAATAGCAAATTATGCAAGTCTCTTTTCAGCGAACTAGAATAAACGATATTGGATTCCACTACATAATTTTACTGGATCATAATATGGGATATTTATTTCTCTTAGAATATTATAATTAGAGGGGTTTTTATTTTAGAATGCGAGAATTAGACTTTTTGATAAAGAAAATGAAATTATTTTATATTATCAAATACTAAAATTGCTCATAATAACATCCTGAGTTTTAAAGTTTGTGGACAAACTACATTCATACAGCAATATTTTATCCACTGTCAAGCCTTTTGTGACCTTTCTGCAAAAGAAATTTTGGATGTAATTCCAACATTTCATGAAATATTAGGACTTCTGATGATTATCTGTGAGTCTTCTCATTACTTACAAGAATTAATTAACTTGTACCATAATGACATTCTATTTGTTTGTACAATATAAACCCCTGGTAGACTCCTGGGTGATGTGTTAGATCCTGCTCTTTTTTTTGGTTTTTGTTTTTCGAGACAGGGTTACTCTGTGTAACAGTCCTGCCTGTCCTGGACTAGCTCCATAGACCAGGCTGGCCTCAAACTCAGAGAGATCTGCCTGCCTCTGCCTCCTGAGTGCTGTGATTGAAGGTGTTCGCCATCACCGCTTTGAGGTGAAAATTAGTGTTGAACCAGACTTTGGGGACAGGGATTGAACTCAGTGTCTTTGCATGCCAAGCTAGCCCTCTATTACTGAATTCCATTCCCAAAGCCCAGATGTGAACTCTGTTTTGTCAAATGCTTTCAGTGTTTAGTTATAAGTCAAATTACTATCAGTCAGAGATATTCCAACCTTGTAAGTCCACTAACACTGACACTGTAAATAAGAATATTAACAGTTTATTTTTGAAATGCACACTCCATTCTTTATTGACAGATGATTACATTTCCTGTTTTGACACCCTGTACTTCTGTGTTGAGTCTCAGCCTGTTGTGACTTGCATTAAGTACGTTGCCATAACACACTACTTTGTAAATAATATGTTAGTCTGTTGGACGTCTTTAGAAGTGCTGCAATTCTGTGAATAAAATGACAATGCATATGCTGTGCAACTTTATTTGAGAATCACATCAGCTAATAAGTGACAAGCCCTCAAAGAAAAACATTACTAGAATTGTAAATTCTGCTCCATATCATCATCAGTTAATGTACTTGAAAGGGTTAAACTGGGGGATGCATGCACACAAAATAGATGAGAAAGACTAAAGTTTTGAAAATTGAATTTGTAGAAACAGGACACTTTTCAGTCAGACAACAGGCTGATGCAGAAATAATTCAGAAGGAACTATGGATTGAAATTCACTTTTTAAATACAAAATTTCTATCAATTCCTTGAAAATTTCAGACAAAGTATTTTGATCATATCCCAGGACCAAGGCAACTTAAGGAAGAAAGCCTTTATTTGGGCTTACAGTTCCAGAGGTGTACGTCCATCACTGTCTCAATGGGGAGCATGGAATCAGGTGCTAGAAACAGCTTAGAACTCACATCTGGAGCCACAAATAGGAAGCCAAGATGGCAAGCTGGGACTTTCATGTTGCTTCTTAAACCTCAAAGTCCGCCTACAGTGACACATTTCCACACCAAGGACACTCTCCTAAACCTACCCCAAAAGTATCCCTGCTGAGCACCTGAGGACCAAGTACTCAAATGTCCAAGATTACTGCCGGGGGCCCGGATTTCATTCAAATCACCACACCCTTGTTCTTTCTACTTGTTCCTTTGTGATTCATCCTTATCTCTCTACTTCCCCTCTTTTAAATAATCCATAGAGTCTAATTAGTATTATGCATTTAATCTATCTACCAGAGTGTGGTTGACTAATTAGGAGCTATGCTTTTAAAGAAAAATGGATTCTCCTTCCTCAACAAGCCACTGTCACTAGTCCCTCAGTTAGGATGGGGTTCATGTGCCCCTCCCAAGTCCATTTGAGAATGTTAATTGGCTTGATCTTGTACAGGTCTTGTGCAGAAAATCACAGCTGCTCTGTTTATTAGTATAGCAGTCTTGTCATTTCCAGAAGGCACTGTGTCACCCACTCTAGTCATCACCAACCTCTAGATCTTACAGTCTTTCTGTCCTCTCCTTCACAATGGTGCCTAAGCTATGGGGTGGCATGATACTTATTTCCCACTTGTGGCTGAGTACTCCCAAGGCTCTCATTCTTTGAACTATGACCAGTTGTAGGTTTCTGCTATACCTATACAGAGAAAGTTTTTAAATGTTGTCTTACCAACAAATTTGTGTATAGACACAAATTCAGAGGGCAGTTTGATATGTACATTTATCAGAAATAATAGTAATAGGTTTGTGTTGGATCTTGGGAGTTCCTCAACCGTGGTTTCTTGGCCAGATTTACACACAAGACACATGTTTTCTCCTTTTGAGTTGGCATTAAATTCAATAAGAAAGTGCTTAGTTACTTCAATAACATTATTGCATTATTACAACCATGGTTTTGCCTTGTCACACCTTACCATATCTTGCCATATATATATTGTAGTTCATAGGGGTAACATCTGGGTAAGACTATTGAAGACTTTTTTCCTCTCAGTATCCTTCACAACATTTTCTGGTACTATGAAGACTAGGCATCAGGTAGGAAACTCCCTGGTCAGTACTAACTTGAATTCTTCATGCCTGGGATCAAAGTGAGTTTTGCTTTTAAAGGCTAACACTTTTAAAAATTTTTATTTTTAAATTTAAATTAGAAACAAAGTTGCTTCACATATCAATTATAGGTCCCTCTCCCTTTCCTTCCTCTCCTCCCACACCCTTCCACCAACCCCTTTAGTATCCTGTCATTTCCCCAGGGAGGGTGAGGCCCTCCATGGGGGTGTCCATAGTCTGTCATTTCATCCAGGGCAGGGCCTAGACCCTCCCCTTGGAGTCCAGGGTGAGAGTGCTTCTCTCATTGTTGAATGGGTGCCCAAAGTCCATTTGTATACCCTGGATAAATACTGATCTACTACCCAAGGCCCAATAGATTACCTAGGCCTCCTCACTGACACCATGTTCAAGGGGTCTTGATCAGTCCAAAGGGTAACATTTAAGGAAGGAAATTAGAAAGTCCAGATGAGGTGAGTTGTCAAAAAAATGACTTGGTAAGAATTGGAAATTTTTGTTAAAAAACTGCCATGGAAATTTGCTTGATAAAAACAACAGATTAATCATCAGAGAAAGTAGGAGTCGATTAAAGGGTTGCTCATTAGTGACAGAATTTTTAATTTCATGAAAAAAATTACTAATGCTTCAAGGATTACTAAGCGAGCACATGGTGGAAACACTTTCACAGAATATAATCATTACGACTGTTCTGAAGAAAGATGAGGGTACACAAGCTGGAATGCTACTCTCAAGGATGCCATGAATTAATAGAGCCGTTCTCAAAGTGTGGCCTGCAGATGGCCCAGCAATTCTAGATGCTTTTCTGTTTCACTTGTTTGACATTTGTATTTATATTGCAAACACTATAGGGGCTTTTTAAACTCCAGAAATCACACCAGTGACAACTACTTTAAGTTGTTGTGTGTCTGTTTTATCACTAACCACTCCACTTCCAGAAAATGACCTATTTTAATGATAAATCTCTATCCTCAAAGGAGCGTCTTTTCTATAGTTATTGTGGAGGAGTGGGGAGTAACGTCGTGTACTTCTACATCCTAAAATGTGAGGGATATCTCCAGGAAAAGCGCATGCGCCCTTGTTTACATGTGGCAGCCAACATAGCCAGGCTTTCCATGGAACATCATGTTTTACTTGGAGGAACGACACACAGACCGTGATTATCAGACTTGGAATTTGGCAGACATTTTCTCTCAAGTGAAAAGAAGTGTGCTGTCACTTAAGAGAAAACAACTGACAGTAGCTACTGCCAAGGATAAAAGTTTGAGCTTTCAAGCAAATTTAGACTTTTGGAAAACTTACATCTGTCACTGAGTGTTTGACAGTCTCCCAATGCATGGAGGCTTTTCTGCTGTGATTTGCGATATTAACAAGTGTGACTTTTTTTTCTTAAGAATCGCAATTGCATAATGAAATTTGTCAACATTTGGTAATTTTTGCATAATGTTTTCCAAATGACCAATGAATAGTATCAGTAAAAATACACAAGTGGGGGAATAATCCATTCACAATATAAAACGGAACAATGGCTTTTAACAATGTGATGGGTGGAACACAAAGTCAGTTGATGTAAGTTAAGAACCCATATTGTTGTCAATCTTTACAAAACCCATTGTTAAGGCTTGGTGTTGTATCAAAAATAGCAATGTTCAAAATTGTCTGCAAAGGCTATGCAAATTATTGTCCTTATCTAACTACATGTACTTCATGTGAGACTGAATTTTGTTCATATTACTTAACCATATTGTAACAGATTGGATGTAGAATCAGATTTGAGAACTCAGCTTTCTTTTATTATGCCAGACACTATATAGATCTGCAAAAAACCATGCTTTTTCTCTTATGCATACTTTAAAACGTCTTTTTTTAATAATATGTGCATTTATAGTAACAGTCATTGGGCTTATTGCCATTTTAAATGGATAAGAGTATCTTTAATTTCTAGATTTTAATTTCTATGTGGTACATATTTATAGAGATGACCTAAGAAAACCAATTAGGATCTTCAGTACCATTTCAAAATATAGCGGGGCCACTGGTTTTGAGAACTGCTGTAGAAATACATAGCCGAATCTGGATGGAGGATCTCACTATAAGAATGAAGAAGGGGGCTGGGGAACTGACTCATTACTGTTTTTGCAGCAGACTCGAGTTTGTTCCCCAGCATGCATGCTAGGTGCTTATCAGTCACCTTAACTGCAGCTCCACAAAGACTCAATGTCTGTGGCCTCCATGGGCATCTAGATTCGTGTGCTCATTCCCATGTAAGGACACAGATATGTGAAAGATGGGTGATGCCCTTCTGTATATATCTTTCTCTTAATGGTTGATGAATAAAACACTTTTGGCTAATAAGGCAGGAAGATAGGTGGGACTAGGAGACGAGGAGAATTCTGGGAAAGGAAAGAGTCACTATGTAAGGATGAGGAAGAAACGACGCACTAGGCATTCTCCAATAAGAAAAGACCATGTGGAAATACATAGATTAATAAAAATGGGCTAATAATTAAGACAGAGCTAGCCTATAAGAAGCCCTAGTCATCGGCTAACAATTTTATAACTAATATAGTGTCTTGCATGTTCATTTGGGGCTAAAGGGACTTGGGGACCTGGCAGAATCTCCCGCAACACATAAACACAATTAAAAAGTAATAAAAGTAAGTCTTTAACAGAATGAAGATGAGCAGGCACATGGCACTCATGTGGCCATGTAACCTACATTCTTTTTTCCTGTTCTCTCTGCATGTGACTTCTCAACACCATCTGATGTTATTTTCCTTCTACAAACACCATGAGATACTTATTAGTTTATATGTGGTGAACAAATTCTATAGAGGTACCTTGCTTGAAAAAGCAAAGTTCACAGATTACTTTGGCTCGTGTATGACATCTTATAGTGGTATACATAAGCAAATAGATCAAGTAAATATATAGTTACATTATATATTAAACTTATTTCATCTATTAATATTACTGCTAAACAGTCACACATCAAACACTACTGTTAGTCTTTTCTGTCACTAAAATGTGCTAACAGAGTTTTATAATCAGCAAATAATAAAAACATCTCATTAGTGTATAATAAATATTATAAATTATTTTTCAAAGGTGATGTAGACAAGTTAGATCACACCAAGAGATACTTCTTTAAAGTTTATATTGCTGAACATCATGCAAAATTAATATACATTTTTCAAGGAAAATATCATAGGAAACATATATATCACAATGATAACTTAGGAGCACAGTTTATAGTCAATGCCTTCAAGAAGCCCTTTTGTTCAAACAAAAGATGTTTCCTGTCTAATGTGAGACATGGCTGCTTATCAGGATGCTATGAAAAATGAGAAAGTTCATTGGCTCAAGAAAGGGTGAATATGGAAAGTTCTTTCCATAACAACAAAGGAGGAGATAAGGGAGGGACCATAAGTCAAAGCATTTGCAAAATGCTCATCGAGGCTAACATTATGTTTTCAATAATGTAACAGATCTATGTATTATCTACAACAACATTCTCACATCCATTAACCTCACCAGGTCTAAGGGATCCTGTGATTCCTATGTGAGGTAGTGAGCTCTGCCAGAAAACATTGTTAATGTGAGTACAGGCACACCTGTAGAGAAAACAAAGAGAACTTAAAACACCAGATACCACCTGGCACATGCACTAACTCAAGCCCTGGCACTGGAACCATGCTTTCACCAGTAAGAATTGGCTTGATCCGGGTTTGCCTCTTGCTAGTGATACTCAGTGTGTGGTAGCCTTTATAGTGATCTCTCCATGCCAAGGCTATACCAGAAGAGACCCCACATGCTGCTGGTAAGTTAGAAAACATTTGCATAAGTTGCCTTGGGAACAAGGAATCACTATCAATATCAGTTTTACAGCTTATCCTAGGTGTTGGGAGTCTGTGAGAATGAGCTTGTTTTGCTTAACATGGAAAGTGCATAGTCTTTCATTTTTCTTCTGAGTTGATTGCTTTTAACTTTCTACACCAAAATTCATCATAGTTCTTGCCCATAGATTTCTTCAGTTTTAGTGTTGGGCCTTACAATGACTACTTTTTAACAATATGTCTGAAAATGTTTGCATTGTTTTTATTTTTTTACTTTTCACATGTATTCAGAGCACATGTGTGTATGCATATGTATGTTTTTGTTTTTGCATATGTGGGGGCACAGTTAAGTGGACATATATGTGCCCCATATATAGGCAGGCCTAAGGTTGATTTTAGGGATCTTTCTTGAGTCCTCTTCTATTGTACTCATTCAGGCAGGGACTCAGACTCAGAACTCCCCAATGTATCCTGTCTTGCTAGTCAGCTTGCCCTTGGGATCCTGTGTCTGCATTCTGATGATGCTGGGTTACAGGCTGGCTGCCATGCTCACGCAGCATTTGCTGGGCTTCTGGGGGCCTGAACTCTGGCTCTCATGCTTGCACAGTAAGTCCTTAACCAAGGCAGCAAGGTAAAGTCTGAAAAGCAAACCTATCCTCACAACAAAGCTCCTTCCTTGCTGCTGCTGATGATCAGAGCATGACCACTGACCATGCTAAGCATAGAAATGCTCTCACGAATGACCATGAGTTACAGTTAGCTTATATGCTCGAAAATAAACCTAAGTAGTTATGTTAAGGCCAAGATTTACACTGAGATGTTCAGTTTTCAAAACAGCTTCAAATGTGCAGGGCTCTTTGCTCCCATGACAGGTATTTGTAGGAGGAGAGTTTAAGACTGTGCCGCTAATGAAAGGGCGGGGAACTGCGCCGCTAGCCATGCCCACTTTGGGCGTGGCTAGAGGCTTGTGTGGAGATACTAATAAAAGACGGTGCAGGAGAGCCACACACTCTCTTTTCGGCTTCTGGTTTTGTGGCGAAAGCTACTGACTCACCTTGGTGGCCGGTATTCTCTTGTAAGTAATTTCTACAATAAAGTTACAAATACCCTCAACAAGTGTGCCGTTTATCGTTACAGCGACAAGTATTGGTGATGTTTATTTATAGATGCAGGGATTGGAGCAAAGGGAAGTTAAGTGACCAGTGACATCAAGACTAGTTAGTGATGTGGTGACTCAAACATAGGCTTCAGGCTGCAGAAGCTTTTCCCTAAATGACAAAGACATCTGTAACTCTAGCACTTCATCTGTGGTTGCAAAATTAATTCTTGACAGCCTAGAACTTTCTCTTCCCTCGCCAAACTAGCTGGTCCTGTAGGAAGATTAGGAAATGGAAACAAACACAGTTCTTCAACTCTCACCATTCACACTTATTTCGGGCAATATGGTTTCTGTATTTTATAGTATTTGGAAATTGTAAGTGAATGAAACACTGTACGCCAGTGCATGCCAGCAATTCCTACACTCCAGAGGAAGTGACATGAGGATCAGGAATTCAAGGTTATACTTCAGTGCATAGTGAGTTTGAGGCCATCCTGGACTGCAGGAGATGCTGTTTCAAAATTAAAGAAAAGCAAACAAGAAGAAACGTACCCACAGATAAAAGCTTCTCTCAGACTTAATCAGAGAAACTCTTTTCACAGCAAAAGGAGGTGAATCCAAGGGGCCCATGGCTACACGAAATGCTGAAAATAAAGGATGGTTAAGGGCTCATCCCTAAATAAGACATTTATCCCACCCCTTATAGCTCATTGCTGAAGAGGCTTGGAAAGATTCTAAGAGTCCAAAGATAAAGAGAAGGGCTGGGAATCTTCTATGTATAGCACGGCAATTATGAACTCACAGAAGCTGTGCCTGATGTCATTGGGCCCTCACAAGTCCAGCTCACCTAAAAGAATAGATAGGAAGGAGTCTCTCTGGAACCTATCACTTTTGACTGATATTGATAGCTAACAGGTTCTCAGAGATAAGGAGACCTAGCACTAGTTGGGCACCAGGCTTTGCTCAGTAGTTACAGACCCATGGTCATACAGATGGGCTTAGTTAACGCCATGGGATACAGAGCAACACAAAGTCATGGACATGGGAAAGAGATTTGTGAGGAAGAAAGGGCGCTGACAGAAGTAGGACAGAAATAAGAGGGAGGTGAGAAGAATAGAAAGACTACACATGCATGAAGCTGCCAGGAACGGAACAGAATTTATTAATGAGCAAAATATAAGTGAATGAAATGTTTTATTACCCTGAGAGACTAAGTGGCTTGTTCCAATCATCAGAATGGAATTTAGAGCTGTGGGAAACAAATATTAAAAAAACCTACTAACATAACCCATGATCAAGCTCCTCTGAAAAAAGTGTCACACCTAAATTACTGCTCTTTGTAGAATGACCAGCATGAAAACTGCATCAATACCCCTGACATGCTGTCCAGTGGCCATGGGGAAATCAAGAGCCATGAACAAACCAATACTTACTAGCATTGCACATGAAAAAGAGAGGACCCAAACACAGACTTATTGTTGTGTGTCTGTACTGACTCACCACATTTATAATCTGTGTTCTCAGTTGTCAAACATTTCTAAACCCATGCAAGAAAAATAAAGGCCAAATGGACACTGGCTTCTGAGTTAAGATCAGGATAAACTTTTACAAAAGAAAAAGCCAAGGGTGAGATGAGAAGTAAAACGTCAAGAGAGGCATCTGTAAACTGAGACGCAGTCAGCCTGAATACAGGGGAAGAGAGCCCTGGAAGGAGTGGAAATAGAACAAGGGCAGCATAAGAGGGCCGTTGGCTAGAGGCATGTTAGTTAGTATTTAATTAGTATGTTAATTAGTATTCTAGACTGTCTAGTGAACATATACAAATGAGAACATCTGAAGGATAGAAAACATATTTCCTATAAATAGAGGGTGGTGTTTATCATGCCTTTGGCAATTTGGATAGGCTCAAGGAAGCTGATTCAGTTTCAGAACCTTCCTATATTATAGCTGAAGAGTCGGGAGGGACTCAGTATATCCTATTCTGTTTAAAATCTTTCCTCCCTTAGCCAGGTAATGTGGCATATGTCTAAATAGTCTGAAAGTTGAGGCAGGAGGATTACTGGAGCTCAGGGTTTGAGTGCAGCTTAAGCAACACAGCCAAGACTTTGTATTAGAAAATTGTTGACTCTTCAAAAAAACTTTTTTTTAATATTCACTGTTGTCTTGCCCTCCTCCCTCTCCATTCAAAATTCCTGAGAAGATATTTTGAGCTATCTGGTTCCTGTCTTTTGTGTTCTTGTTAAATAAGCAGATGGTGGTCTGAAGACACTGAGCCATTGGTAATCTTTGGGTTTTGGATGGCTAAATTTAATTATTTCTGGAATTTATTTACTTTGGTCTTAATTATCATTTAAATATATTTTATCCTACTTCATTTAGTTTTAAAAATATATTTTAAAACTTACTTTGACAATTTTATGAATGTATATTATGTATTGTGTCTATATTAACCCCCTATTACCCTTATCCCTTTCTCATCCCTTCTTATTCCCAACATTCTCATTCATACTTAACCATCCCTGTCTCTGTCTCTGAATCTGTCTCTATTTCTCTCTCTCTCTCTCTCTCTCTCTCTCTCTCTCTCTCTCTCTCTCTCTCTCTCTCTCTCTCTGTATTCCACTGAGTTGACTTTCAGGAGCACAAGTAAGATCTTGGGCAACTTACCAGTGACTATACTCCTGGAGAAAATTACTCCCAACCTCTTACCATATTAGGTACTTTTCAGGTGCTCAGAAGCAATATCCTGACCAAAAGAGGTAAGAGGAAAGAGTTTACAGGTAAGAGGAAAGAGTTTATTTTGGTTCCAGACGGATAAGGGTCCATTATGTTTTGGAGGCATGGCTGTAAGCTGTAGGCATGACAACAAGAGGAGGAAAGTTAAGAAATCACATCTCAAGGATGATAAAAATATGTATATAATCATTTTAGAAGTGGAATGAGGCTATACAGTCTCAAAACCTACCCCCAGCACACTTTCTCAATCAAGGCTATACCCCTAAGCCTCCCCAAAGAACACCATCAATAATTGCAGACCAAGTATTCAGGAGCTTGACCTCATTGGGGGACATTTCTCATTTAAACCATCACATTTAGTGACATGACCTCATAGAGAGTTGGGACCTCAGCAGGCCCTCTATCCTTTATGGTGGAATATTGACAGGGCCAGTAATGTACAGCCCTTGTTCAGACGAGCACAGATGCTCTAGGTCCATGAATACGATGGTCATATCAAGTCTAGAAGATGGCATTTCACAGTATTCTTCCCCATCCTTTGCTTCATACATTCTTTCTTTCTTCTTTCTCATTATGTTCCCTGAACATTGAAAGAGGTGATGTAGATGTCCCATTTATCGCTAAGCACTTATCCTCAGCATGTTGACCAGTTATGAATCTTTACATTAACTGCTGTCACTATACGAAGGAGCTTCTCTGGCCAAGCTGACTACAGCATTAATCTGTAAATACTCTCATAAATATTTAGAAGGATGTTCTGAAAGCACATCTACTTAGCAGAATAATAGTTTCCCCTTAATTTTCACCTTGCATATAAACATGGCTACATGTCTACATTGCAAGGCTATCTCACTAATTCATGTAATAATCCTTGGTGAATAGCAGGGCTACAGGAGTCAGGGAGGGAAGAAATGTGGTCAAATGAATGTTTTTGCATGGAATCTTACTATTTAAAAGTGGTGTTGCAGTAGCACTGCAAAATAGGTTTCCTAAAAGTCTAAAATACTGTACTTTAGGAAAGTGGGAATCAGTGACATAGTAACTGAACTTAGGTTTTTAAATTCCAGAGAAAAATTCCAAGGCATGCCAGTGGTACCCCAACTGCCTGGAAAACCCACTGGATCAGTATGATGGTTTGATTTTCAGTATGCACAAGATAAAGGGAAACAAAAAAATTTTAAGAAAAAGAAAAATGACTGTGGTGTTAGAGGTAAACCTCTTGCTTCTTGATCCAAAAGACCATGTAGCAAACAACTCCCAGAGTTAGTGAAGGGGTTAGTGAACTTAGAATCTCTTCCCCATTTTCCACTAAGATTACATGATAGGTCTAGTTTAGGTAGTTTGAAAGTGCTTTATTCATAACTATCACAAGATAGAGTCATTGAATGCTTGTTCTTTTTACTGCCCAGCAACTATTATGTTTCTTAATGTAGTCAACCTTGTAGTCCAAGAAACTGTCATGGTTGTTCCTTACACTGGCTCAACGCACATAATCTTTGCTCTTCTACAGAATATTGTCATGTTTTATATTCCTTTTAGAATTTAAAGAGAAACTTGGAGTATTTAATGTCATCTTCAGTGGAAGCATCTTTTTATAGTAGATTTACTTTCATGAGAATACAATAACAAGAAGCATAGAGACACTAATGACCCACATAACGTTTTAATGTGCCCAACTCCTTGAAGACACAAAGTGTCTGACTTGCCAAAAATTCAACTAGGCATCTTAAAAGTGACAGTACTATAACTTATCTTTATCTCTCTCCACACTTGCAGTTCTGTACAAACATAAACTCTGCTGCACACATATATGTATAGGATATTATTATTTTACTAGATTGAAAGGAGAAATGAGTAAGCCAGGGATGGATGTAAGTAGGAACAAATGAGATTTTCTAATCCCAGGAGCTGCAAATATGAATATTTGCAATATAGTAGCTCTCAAAAATGAATAGTGATATCATCAAAGCAAGCATCCATGTACTTCCTCAAAGCAAGACACCATGAATTATCCTGGGACATAGATATGTACACACATCTGTCTGTCTGTCCATCTGCTTATATATCTATCATTCCACATATTTTTGTGTTGCAAATTATTGTTTCCCATATACAGTACCAACCTTGGTAGTCGATAAGTTCTCCATTTTCTAACATTAAGAAACTGGAACCAGCAGCCAATGTTCCCTTTTGTTTCACTGTACTTTACTTTCAGTTATATCCACTTAAAATTTTTAGTTATTTTTATAGAATACTACTAACACACAATTATTTTAATTGATTTAGGATTTTATACAGTCGTGTAATGGTGTTTTGATCAAATACACTCTTTATCAGTTTACCAATTCCTCCTTTATTTCCCAACCAGATTTCCTCGAAACATCATGTATTCTCTAAAGACAAAATCCATAGAGTGCCTTAGTGCTGTGGGTGTGTGTCTGGGTGTAAGAGATTCTGTTAAAGCATACACAGTCTTTTAGGGCTGTGTCTCTGAAGAAAGACAAATTGCATCCTAGCAGCCATCAACTATTGGTAGTTCCTCAGCTAGGAGTGGGACTTAATGAGCCCCTTCCCCATCCATAATGGGATTTTTCTGGCTTGATTCAATGCAGGTGGATGTATTTACAGTCTTTGTGTGTTCATGAGTGCATTGGCTCTACCAAGTGCATTGCCCTGTGGCTCTACAGTCTTTACACCCTTTTTCTATGATGATCACTAAGCTTTGGGTAAGGGTGCATATAAAATGTCCCACTAAAAGATGAGCAGCACACAGTCTCCTGTTCTCTGCACCTTGACCAGTTGTGGGTCTTCGTATTAATAGCCATCTACTGGCTCTTAAGTAGAAGCTTCTCTGATAAGGATTTAGAGGTGCACTGATCTATAGGTATAAAAATAAGAAATTATGGGGCAGGTTATTTCTATGTCTATTAAGCACGATAATAGTTTTAGACTCTACTAATATGGGCTTATGACCTCCTCAGCTATGGGGTTTTGGTCCAG